ATCTCCATTTCTGTGATTCTGTTCCTGTTCTAGTGGTTTGCTTAGGTTTTTTTTGTTGTTGTTGTTCAGTTGTTAATAGCTGTGAGTTTGTTGTCATTTTACTGCTCATATTTTTTTGTATCTTATTTTTCTTAGATAAGTCCCTTTAACATATCATGTAATAGGGGTGGGTGATGATGAACTCCTCTAATGTGACCTTATCTGGGAAGTGCTTTATCTGCCTTTCCATTCTAAATGAAAGCTTTGCTGGATAGAGTAATCTTGGATGTAAGTCCTTGCCTTTCATGACTTCAAATACTTCTTTCCAGCTCCTTCTTGCCTGCAAGATTTCTTTTGATAAATCATCTGATAGTCTTGTGGGAACTCCTTTGTAGGTAACTGTCTCCTTTTCTCTTGCTGCTTTTAAGATTCCCTTCTTATCTTTCATCTTGGGCAATATAATTATGATGTGCCTTGGTGTGTGCTTCCTTGGGTCCAACTTCTTTGGGACTCTCTGGACTTCCTGGACTTCCTGGAAGTCTATTTCCTTTGCCAGATTGGGGAAGTTCTCCTTCATTATGTTTTCAAATAAGTTTTCAATTTCTTGCTCTTCCTCTTCTCCTTCTGGCACCCCTATGATTCAGATGTTGGAATGTTTAAAGCTGTCCTGGAGGTTCCTAAGCCTCTCCTCTCTCTTTTTTTTTTTTTTTTTAGTTCTTATTTCTTCATTCTGTTCTGGTTAATTGTTTCTTTCCTCCTTCTGATCCAAACCATTGATTTGAGTCCTGGTGTCCTTCCCGTCACTGTTGGTGTCCTGTACATTTTCCTTTATTTCACTTTTCATAGCCTTCATTTTTTCCTCTAATTTGTAACCATATTTAACCACTTCTGCGAGCTTCCTTATTACTAGTGTTTTGAACTGTGCATCTGATAGGTTGGCTATCTCTTCTTTGCTTAGTTGTATTTTTTCTGGAGTTTTGTTCTATTTCATTTGGGCCATATATATATTTTTTTTTGTCTCAGCATATCTGTTACATCTAAGGGGTGGAGCCTTAGGTTTTCACCAGGGCAGGGCAACCCACTTGGCTGCATTGTGGAACTGTATGTGGAGGAGGCGTCTGAGAGGAAAAATGCCAGTTGCTCTGCTCTCTGCTGGTTTTCAGTCACTTCCTCCACTACCCACAAGCAAATTGGGCCCTTCTGGTGCTGAGTTGCTGGTGGGTGGGTTTGTATACATTCTAGGACCCTGTGCGTCTCTTCAACAAACTCTTCTGTGAGGGTAGGAGTTTCTCCCACTGCCACAACCCTCACAGGTTTTTTCAGTCAGAGGTTTTGAGGCTTTATTTCCCTGCACTGGATTGTGTGGTCTGTCTCACGCCCCAGTTGCTTATTCTGGTTTATCTGCAGACAAATGTGGACTGCTCTGTCCACCAGCCACTGCCTTACTGCGAGTCTTCTCCACCCAGCTGCCCATCTCCACCCCTCCTACCAGTCTGGATGAATATTTCTTCTTTAGCTCCTTGGTTGTCAGACTTTCATACAGTTTGATTTTCTGTCAGTTCTTTTTTTTTTTTTTAGTTTTTAAATTTGTTGTCCTTCTTTTGGTTGTGTGAGGAGGCATAGTGTGTCTCCCTATGACTTCATCTTGGCTGGTGCTCAGCTGGTTTTTAGGTGAAATGAAATCAGCCACTTGCTGATAACTTTGGAGCTGAGTGATGGGTTCAAAGTAGTTTATTTCACTATTCTGTTTACTTCTGGATATGTTTGAAAATTTCTGCATAAAGTGTAAAGAATAATCCTCAAATTTTTACATTAAAAAAAAAGCTCAATAGGATTCAGCAAGGTGCCCAGAGCATAACTTACGTAAAGCAAACAATGAGGTAGATCTATATATCTTTATGTGAAATGATATCCAAAATATACTGTTAAATTTTTAAAAGTCAAAGTACAGAACAATTTCTATACTGCTCCTGTTTTGTGTAAAATATATACACATACACTTGTATATGTATACACTATTTCTGGGTGAGAATATATAAACTGACAGCAATGATTGCTTGTCAGACTACAGAATTGGAAGTTTGAGAGGGTGGATAACTTGATTTTCATTGTATACCCCTTTTTTTTGCCGTTTGAATTACTCTTACTGTAATTCAAAAGTAAATACAATTTATGGAGAAAAATGTATAAGAATAGCTCATTAAAATTTTGAAGAAGTAAAATGATGGAAGACTTGCCCTACAAATATGAAGACATATTACAAGTTGCTATTGTCATTAAAATAGTGTGATAATAGATAACTTAAAGAGAACAAATTTTAGCAATTTATTGTTTTATAAAGAAGGCATTTTTAAATTAGCAAAGAAAGAATTGATTGGCCAATTGGCTGTCATTTGGGGGATCCTTATATGACACTTTGCACTATACCCAAAAGAAATTTCCAGAGCAATTAAATTGCTTATTGTAAAAATAAAACTATAAAAGTAAAATAATAAAATATAGTAGACTATTTTTTAATCTCTTGGGCATGGTGAAGACATTCCTAGGCAGAAAACATAAGTAAAAAGATTGATAAAAATTGACTATATATAAAGCTGTTAACATCTTTGCACAGGTTTTGTGTAGACATAAATTTTCAACTTCTCTGCATAAATATCAAACAGCTGGATCATATGTTAACAGTATATTTAGCTTGTAAGAAACTGCTGAGTTGTCTTTCAAATTGGCTATACCATTTTACATTTCTACCAGCAATCAATGCAAGTCTTCCTTGCTCCAAAACTCACTAGCCTTTGTTGCAATCAAGATGTCCTTCAGTAGGAGAATAAATAAACTTTTGTGCATCCAAACAATGAAATATTATTCAACACTAACCATTAATAAGCTATAAAGCCATTCTGATAAGGTTATATACTGTATGATTCTAAATATGTGACCTTCTGGGAAAGGCAAAACCATGAAGTCAGTAAACAGATTAGTGGTTACTAGGGACTGGGGAGAGGGACAGATAAATACACAGAGCATAAAGGATTTTTAGGACAGTGAAACCACTCTGTCTGATACTGTAATGATGGATACATGTTATACATTTGTCCAACGTCAAGTGTGAACACTGATGTAAAATATGAAAAAAGATTGACTATATAAAAATAAAAAATCTTTGTAGGACAAAATACATCATAAAGGATTTAAAGTACAAGTGACAGATTAAGAAAAGCACTTGAAAGATAGTATGCCAATATCTATAATACATAAAGCCTTTTACAAATATATAAGCAAAGATGTCCATTCTAATAGAAAACTGGGCAAAACTTAAAAGCAGGAAACTTATGGAGGGTGTCATATAAATAGGTAACAAATATGAAACACTTGGCAATTTCACTACTAACCAAGGAAATGCAAATGAAGACAATATATAATCTTTTACTTATCAGATTAGAAAATATTATGCAGGTTTATAATATGTTATTGGCAATGATGTGGGGAAAGGGGCACTCATATAGTCTCAGTGAAGGTATAAATTGACACAGAACTGTTGAAAGGCATGTTGACAATATCTAACAAAATTCCATGTTGGGAAAGGCAGTCTCATGTGCACAGTCTTTTGGCCCTCTCTTAGCTACATAAAACTAGGCCTTGGGCCTGGAACATTTGCTTATTAGGAAATAAACAGTCCACACAGCCTGTTCCAGGCTTATCACCTTATGTGAGTATATCTTTTTTTGTTTCAGTCTCAATGAATTTTCTTTTGTTCTACATAAGCATGTGTATTCATAGGCCTGAGGCATGCCCCCAACTTTCAGTATTTTAGACTCCATGGAGAAAGGGGGAGAGGTAGTTGTTGGGATCTTACTGCTGCAGTAGGAGAAGGGTGCACATAGGCAAACTGCTCTGTGTTAGCTGCCAGGTGAGACCCGCTAGCCATGGGAACTCATGCACACTATTGGAGCTGATATCTTGCTCTAATATGTCTCTTCTGTATATGAGTAAAAGTGTTATTCCATCCAATCTTTGATTATGTTGTGTCTACATTGGCTACTCTAATACCAATATATAGTGGACAGAGGTGTCTGGACTTTTTTTCCTGATGGCTAGCATAGCAATCATATTTGCTATCCTCCATGTAGAGTCCTCCTCTGGCATAGGTAACTAGTGCATGGTGTTCTGCTGAAAACTCTATGTATAATAATCAGCATCCCTTGCAACATTCTTTTTATTTTTTGAAGATTTTATTTATTTATTCTTAGAGAGAAAGGAAGGGAGGGAGAGAAACACCAATTGGCTGCCTCTCACACATGCTCTGACCAGGGACTGGCCCACAACCCATACCTGTGCCCTGACCAGAATCAAACCAGCGAACTTTTGTTTTGTGGGATGATGCTCAACCCACTGAGCCACACTGGTCAGGGCCTTTCTGACATTCTTAAGCTGTTGAATTGATATAACCAACTATTTAGCTCCAAACTCATTGTAGAAAAATGAACCCCCTTTTTTAAAACTACTGTTCATTGAATATTTTATTCTTTGCAGCATAAACATTCTTAATAGCTTATATTAAGGTCAACAAACATTTTCTGGAAAGGACTGAATAGTAAATGCTCTAGGCTTTGTGAACTATATCTAGTCTATGTCACATATTCTTCTCATTATTATTCTTTTTTTACAACTCTTTAAGAATGTAAAATCCTTCTAAATTAATAGGCTATCCAAAAACAGACAATGAGGCAAATTTGCTGATTCTTGTACTATGTAATTGGTGGAAAAGTTTTAGAAGGATATGTATCAAAGTTTAGGCAATGAATATTTCAAGGAAGTGTGGCAGGTTTAAAGGGTGTCATTAAATTTGTATTGTATATACTCATATTTTAAAATAAATTTATAATCCACATTTGTTTGTGTAACACATAATTTTTTGAAGATGATGCCCATTAGAGATAAGGCTGAATTACAATGTTTTAAGAAACTCAAAACCTTCCAGACTTTTTCTTCTTACCCAACCTTATATCTTTTCCTCAACTTACCAACAGTGTGTCTCCAACTTCTCCATAAAGTAAAGGTCCTAGGATTCCTGATTCATACTGAATAGCTTCACGAGTTTTAAATGTTTCATCTGTGTATGCCATAAATCGGACTTTTTTGTACTTCCTGCCAATCCGCTGAGGACCATTATTCAAATATAAACTTTTATAACTTCTGTGTGAGACACAAAAAGATGAGAGGTTGGAATGGAGAATTCAAAGTAGATGACAGGTGGCTAAAATCCAACTCTAATACAGCTGATATGATTTAATCAAGGAAAAGAGTGGGAAAAACATAAGCATTCTTGATGCTTAGCTATTTTAGTTTGAAAACATTAATTCTCTGGACATCTGATTCCATACCTGCACCTATCCTAAATGTGGTTTGAGTATGTCTTGTTTTGAATAAATAGGAAGAACCTTTTGAGTATGGGGAAGAGACAGTATCGAGTCAAAAAGTACTTACTTGTCATTGGAGGTGGGGACTGAGGGAGCATAGTCCCAGTCCTCCTCTTCAGCAGCAATATAGTGAACCCAAGTTTTAGGATGCTTCTTGGCAGCTGAGCGGATTTGGAATAATGGAGGAGAGTTGTCATCATCAATCCTGACAATATCCATGTCAGAGTCATAAAATTCATCATCATAATATTCCTCTTTTTTATTGTTTTTCATCCGTAGTTGGGGTTCATCTGGGCAACTATCCACTTTGACATAAGCTTCCATACCATCTGGTGTCAGACAAACCAAAAAATGTCAGATTCCTACAAAATTTTCTTGCTTTAACTTCTATGACATTATTATCTCTCATTAGGTCTTCAAGCCTCTCTCTTAAGTGTTCTCTTCTCCACATCAATACTCTTTCTGGCCACTCTTCCATATGGATGACCTTTGCCATTTCTGGTACTTGCTGGTTTCTTCCTGTGGTCTTTGCACTTATCATTTCCCTTCTACTTGACTCTCCTTCAATACACATTTTACCACTTTTCAAGACTCACTTGTTTGCTCTTATAATACATGTCAATATTTCCTTTGTGGAACTGGCTCTGAGGAAACTTGAGGAACTACATATTTTCAACACCTAGAAGCTTAGGTCAAACCAACTCCCTCTTCCCACTGTCACCTAATGAGTTTTATTGGGTTGGCCAAAAAGTTAGTTCATTTTTTCCCCATAAAATGGTTCTAGTGGCATTTAGTTGTCTTTAACTTCACTTGAAACAATTTTGTTACACTGTAGTGTGACAGCTGTCATATCAGCATGCACTTAAAAAAACTTAATCAAAATTGGTGAATTTTTGTGAAGCCATTTTACTATTGAAGATGGAAGAAAATAAGCAACATTTTGGCATATTATGATTTATTATTTTTAAGAAAGGTAAAAATGCAACTGAAACACATACAAAAAGATTTGTGCAGTGTATGGAGGAGGTGCTGTAACTGACCAAGCATATCAAAAGTGTTTTGAGAAGTTTTGTGCTGGAGATGCCTCACTTGACTGTGCTCTACAGTCAGAGCAGTTGAAGTTGTTAACAATCAAATTGAGACATTGATTGAAAACAATCAACATTATACCATGTGGGAGACATCCTACATACTCAAAATATCCAAATTAAGCATTGAAAACATAACCAGCTTGGTTATGTTAATTGCTTTGATATTTGGGTTCCAATGTAAGTGAAAAAACTTTCTTGACCATATTTCTGCATGAAATTCTCTACTTTAATGTAACAATAACATTCTGTTTTTAAAACAAATTGTGATGAGTGATGAAAAGTGGATACTTTACAATAATGTGGAACAGAAGAGATTGTAGGGGCAAGTGAAATGTACCACCACCAACCACACAAAAGGCCAGTCTTCATCCAAAGAAGGTGATATTGTGTACATGGTGGGACTGAAAAGAATTAATTCCAACAAGTACCGCTCCCAATTAGACCAATTGAAAGCAGCATTCAGTGAAATGTTTCCAGAATTAGTCAACAGAAAATGCATAATCTTCCATCAGGATAACACAAGACTGCATGTTTCTTTGATGACCAGGCAAAAACTGTTACAGCTTGGCTGGGAAGTTCTGGTTCATCAGCTGTATTCACCAGACATTGCACCTGCAATTTCCATTTATTTCAGTCTTTCCAAAATTCTCTTAATGGAAAAAAATTTCAATTCTCTGGAAGACAGCAAAAAGCACCTGGAACATTTCTTTGCTCAAAAAGATAAAAAATTTTGGGAAGATGAAATTATGAAGTTGACTGAAGGATGGCAGAAGGTAGTGGAACAAAATGGTGAATATATTGTTCAATAAAATTATTAGTGAAAGTACAAAATATACCTTTTATTTTTACTTAATACCAAACAAAACTTTTGGACAGAATATATTTACTCCATTGAAGTATGACACAAAACATTAATTTAATAACAGCTTATCTGGAAAAATGTTATGGTAGATATAAATTTCAAGATACATTCCAAGTTCATAAAAACATGAAAAGGTAGAACATAAAATAAAAGAAATTTGTCATATATTTTAAGAGCAAATCTGCCTGTGACCAGTTGGAAGCCCTATCAATCTCATCTTTATGCTTTATACAATGTAGATAATAATCCATACCCTATCTATACTATAGGGCTATTTTGAAGATCAATACTAACAAGGGAAAATTATTTGCTGGATGAAGTGGAACAGGGCAGACTTCAGAAGCAGCAAAACACTAGTCTGGGGTTCATATAGCTTTAAATATTGTAAACTAAATTTTACAATTTAGTTTGTTGTAAATATAAAAGTGAAGGGTTTTATTTGAGGTTCAATAAGGCAAAACTTTTTTTTCCCTGAAAAACAAGGATTAAAATCAGTGAAAACAAGTTATCAAAGAATAAAATAAAACAAAACATAAAACAAATTCCTCTTAAATTGAATCTGGCTCAGACTAGACAATGACCAAACTGCATACAAATAAAAGACTTATTCTTCTGTGCCTATATGATCAACTTCCTGTCACTCACCCACTAAGACACACTTGTCCCCTGTGTTTTGTCAGGAATTCCATAAGTATTATATAACAGATGAAGAAAAGGTATCCTTATTCTTTATCACTATATTGTGTCACTCACAAACATAAGGGCAAAATAGTGGATGCATAGCAAGATCAAATCTTTTATCCAAGAACCATGGAACCTGAAAAGTGGTTTAATTTGAGTGATAGGACAGATCCAAGATGGTGGCAGAGTAGCTGGCAGCTCTGTTCTTCTGTTCTCAGACATGGGTCAGATTTGAAGTGATAACAAAGAGGGGAGAGTGAATGAAAGCATCTGTGAGAGAGAGGATATGTGGAGGACAGCATGGGGAAGGTGTGGGAGAACACAGGAACTGATACCTGCTGGGTGCACGGGGTGGGGGCTGATGGCCCAGGCTTTCTAGATGGGCTGCCACTGCTGCCCAGCCTGGCACTGCTGGCTGCACAGAGTCAGGGTGGCTGTAGATCCGGTCAGGAACCATGAGCTACCAGGGCAGCGAGAGAAGCCCTGGAGGTGTGGGCTCCATAAATAGCATGGTGGGAACAGGCAGGCCTGAGAAGACTTTCAGAGGGAGCAGGGACAGCAGGCCGTCATCACTTTGTTCTATAGTAGAGCTGAGGGGATCTTCCCAATGCCATCTGGGAAGTATTCAGAGAGAAACTTTACCTAAAATTGTTGGAGGCCCTGTAAGGAGGTGACCAGCCTTGACCAAGAAAGACTGTGATTTTTGGAGAGAGGGAGCACAAGGAGAACAGGACCCCCAGGGACCTGTGCTACAGCATAAGGGCCATAGAGAAACTCTTAAAAGGGCCACTGAAACATACTCGAGGCTTGGTAGGGACCTGGGTGTGCAGGCCTGTGCATGCCAGTGGCACACAGCAGATTGCTAACCAAAAATCTCAGAGGCGTTGAATACACTAAAGGAATGGGAGGACCCAACCCAACACGGCTCGCAAGCAGAGGGCACAGCAAAGTGGAGAATTCAGGCCAAACCCTTTGTGAGAGATTAGCAGGCTGGTCTCCAAGGTAGGAGCTGAGTGCCTGAGATTTGCTACTGTCAGCCAGAGCCTTTCACAGACAAGTGAACCCAACCCCCACCTGTGGGATTACAGGTTCCGCAGAGCAGCAAGGTCAGGCCCAGGAGTTTCCTGTGGCATGCATTTCCTCAGGGTAAAGAAGAAAAAGGCCCTTCACTAGACACTACATGCTACACAGCTCCTCAGCCCTGATTTACTAAACCCATCAGAGCAGAGAAAATAGACACAGGTGCAACAAGACACTATCTTTGCTCCTGCATAGCTGTTTAACGTTCATTTCATATCCTTCAACTCTGGGCATAATGTGGCACCAGGTTTTATAATACTTTATTTCAAATCTCATATATTGCTCTTCCCTTCTCTTACTCCACACTACCTACTTCATATACTTGTTTTAAATTCTATTTTCTCTTTTGCTATGACTTGTTTCTATTCTGCACTATTACTATTGCTCCCTCCTCCAGCCTCTCAAAACCATTTGTGATTGTCATTAGTCATCTCACACTCCTTTACCTGTTCTTATATGCTTATTCTCTCTCTACACTTCTCAATCTTTGCTCATAGGTAGTGGATAAGGTGGTTGTTGTTACAGTTCCTCAATCTTATTTCTAGATAGTGACTATCTCTGTATTTCAAATCTCTCATTTCCACTTGCCTTCCTCTTGCCTTTCCCTTTTTTCATTTTAAATGTTAATTTTTTTCCTCTTAGCTGGGTTTTCATCCCACACTGTTAATATTCCTTCTCCCTCTATCATCTCAAAATAACTTCTCTTTCCTCTAGACATCTCTTAAACTCTTCTTTCTGTCCTTGTGCCCTATGATTCCCATTCCACCTATATAAATCTTAGCTCATTGATTGTTGATATCTCTGTGGTGCAGATTTTTCTGCAATTATATATTTTGTTGTGGTTGTCTGTTTTTTCTCTCACTAGGTATTTACAAATATATATTATTTCTTTAAATTTTGGTTTTAACCTAATGATACACACTTCTCCTTTCTTACTTCATTCCACCTTCCTTCCTCCCTTTTTCAGTTATGAAGTAAATTTTATTTTATATTCCACTTTGCTTTGTCTCTATTCCCTACTCTTATTATTGACTCTCCCTCTACCATCACAAAATGTCTGTTCTTTCAGTTAGTCATCTCATATCTGTTTTCCCTTTCTTATAGCAGTCTTAATCTCTTTGCACCTTTATTAATACTGACACATTGGCTGTTGATAGTCTAATGGTGGGTAGGGGATATCTTTGTGGGTGTTGGTCTGTTTTCTTAGCTGTTTAGTTTTTATTCTGGCAGAACCTGTATGACAGCATGCAAGATTTGGAGGGTAGAGTGACTTTCAGTCAGTCAGTCAGAGGGAAGAACCCACCAAAGAATGACCCAACAACCCAAACCCAATTACAACCACATAAAAGTCATTAAGGGCAGTGCAAGAATATCAAGTGCAGGTGGTCAAAGAGATTGCACCATTGAGTCCCACAGGTCTCCTACTACAGAAGATCACACCACAAAGACAGGGAGTCAAAGCAGATAAATCTAGTAAGCAGAAATGAACAGGAAGAGTCACCTAAAATGGAAGGATAAAGAAACAACCCCCAATCGAAAGGAAAGGAGGAATTTCCAGAAAGACTGCTAAATAAAATGGAGACAACCTAACTATCAGACATTGAGTTCAAAATAA